GATGGTCTCGATCTCTTGACCTTGTGATCCACCCGCCTCGGCCTCCAAAGTGCTGGGATTACAGGCTTGAGCCACCGCTCCCAGCCTGCTTTTTATTTTTTTTTTAAACGGAGTCTTGCTGTGTCACCAGGCTGGAGTGCAGCGGCATGATCTTGGCTCACTGCAACCTCCGCCTCCCAGGTGCAATGATTCTCCTGCCTCAGCCTCCTGAGCATACATATATATGAATAGGAACATCTCATCAGAAACAATGAGGGATGTAGACAATTTAAAGTGCTGAAAGGAAAAATAATTGCCAACCAAAAATTCTATATCTAGGCCAGGCATAGTGGCTTACGCCTGTAATCCCAGCACTTTGGGAGGCTAAGGCAGGTGGATCACCTGAGGTCAGGAGTTTGAGACCAGCCTGGGCAACATGGTGAAACCCTGTATCTACTGAAAATACAAAAAAAAAAAAAAATATATATATATATATATATATAATATATATATATATATATAATATATATATATATATATATATATATATATATATATAAATATATAAACACACACAAGATATATATATAAATATATATACACAGAAAAAATACAGGGATACGTTGTAAAACAATGTATATATATTTTGTTTGTTTTTTATTTTTCTTGTGTCCCTGTATACAGTGCATCAATTTTTTTTCTTCTTAAACAGGTTGAGCATTCCTAATCCAAAGTCTAAAATGGTCAAAATTGGAAACTTTTTTTTTTTTTGAGATGGAGTGTCACTCTTGTTGCTCAAGCTGGAGTGCAATGGTGCGATCTTGGCTCACTACAACCTCTGGCTTCTGGGTTCAAGTGATTCTCCTGCCTAAGCCTCTGGAGTAGCTGGGATTACAAGCATCCGCCACCATGCCCAGCTAATTTTTGAATTTTTAGTAGCGACGGTGTTTCAACATGTTGGTCAGGCTGGTCTCCAACTCCTGACTTCAGGTGATCCACCCACCCCAGCCTCCCAAAGTGTTAGGATTACAGGCGTGAGCCACTACTCCCAGCCTATTTGTGGTTTTTAACAATCTTTTTCTCAAGGTTTTTCAGATGGAGAATGTATATTAATTTGTCTTTGAGTTAATTTACTCATTCTCTTTTGTTTGTTTGTTTTTGTTTTTGAGACAGAGTCTTGCTCTGTTGCCAGGTGCCAGGCTGGAGTGTAGTGGCTTGATCTCGGCTCACTGCATCCTCTGCTTCCCGGGTTCAAGCAGTTCTCCTGCCTCAGCCTCCCGAGTAGCTGGGATTACAGGTGTGCACCACCACACCCAGCTAATTTTTGTATTTTTATTAGAGATAGGGTTTCACCATGTTGGCCAGGATGGTCTCGATCTCTTGACCTTGTGATCCGCCCACCTTGGCCTCCCAAAGTGCTGGGATTACAGGTGTGAGCCACCGGGCCTGGCCAATTTTCTCATTCTTTTGCCATCATTGCCTTCTGTTACGCCCATTCAGATAGTTGTTTGTTTTTTTAAGAGACGGGTCTCACTGTGTTGCCCAAGCCAATCTCAAGTTCCTGGGATCAAGCAATCCTCCCACTTCAACCCCCTAAGTAGCTGAAACTACAGGTGCAAGCCATTATGGCTGGGTCAGATAATTTTTATTTTTGATATTGTAATTTTCTATTGTAGAATATCTTTTTCTTATAGTTTTCATTTGTCTGCAGACATCTCCCTTGTATTCATTCATTATGACCATCTCTTCCTTTTAGCCCTTCAACATATTTATAATAGCTTCTGTAAAGTCATTGTCTGCTAATTCCAGCATATTGGTAATCTCAAGGTCTGTTTCAGCTGACTTCATTTTCTCTTATCTGTGAGTCACATTTTTCTCTTCTCACATTTTGTAATTTTTAATTAAAAAATTTTTTTCTGGCTGGGCACGGTGGCTCAAGCCTGTAATCCCAGCACTTTGGGAGGCCGAGGTGGGTGGATCACGAGGTCAAGAGATCGAGACCATCCTGGTCAACATGGTGAAACCCCATCTCTACTAAAAATACAAAAAATTAGCTGGGCATGGTGGCGTGTGCCTGTAATCCCAGCTACTCAGGAGGCTGAGGCAGGAGAATTGCCTGAACCCAGGAAGCAGAGGTTGCGGTGAGCCGAGATCGGGCCATTGCACTCCAGCCTGGGTAACAAGAGCGAAACTCCGTCTCAAAAAAAAAAAAAAAAAAAAAATTTTTTTTCTGCCGGGCGCGGTGGCTCAAGCCTGTAATCCCAGCACTTTGGGAGGCCGAGGTGGGTGGATCACGAGGTCGAGAGATTGAGACCATCCTGGTCAATGTGGTGAAACCCCGTCTCTACTAAAAATACAAAAAATTAGCTGGGCATGGTGGCGCGTGCCTGTAGTCCCAGCTACTCAGGAGGCTGAGGCAGGAGAATTGCTTGAACCCAGGAGGCGGAGGTTGCGGTGAGCCCAGATCGCGCCATTGCACTCCAGCCTGGGTAACAAGAGCAACACTCTGTCTCAAAAAACAAAAAAAAAAATTTTTTTTCTTCAAATCCCCTCCGTGAGAAGCAATTGTAATTTTTTTTTTCAGACAGAATCTTGTTCTATCGCCCAGATTGGAGTGCCATGATGCAATCTCAGCTCACTGCAACCTCTGCTTCCCAGGTTCAAGCAGTTTTCCTGTTTCAGCCTCCGGAGTAGCTGGGACTGCAGATGCCAGCCACTATGCCCAGATAATTTTCGTATTTGTTTTTAGTAAAGGCAGGTTTTCACCATGTTGGTCAGGCTGGTCTTGAACTCCTGACCTCAGGTGATCCGCCCAGCCCGCCTTGACCTCCCAAAGTGCTAGGATTACAGGCATGAGCCACCGTGCCTGGCTAAGCAATTGTAATTTTAAAATTATATTCTGGAGCTGTGGATAACACATTATAGAGATTCCAAATTATGTTACCTTTCTCTGGAGAATATTGATTTTTTTTTTTTTCTATTAGCTAGTTAAGTTACATGTTGAAGCTGGGTTTTGAACTTTGTTAAGGCAGGTCTTTTTCAGTGTTGCCATTAGGTCTTAGGGTAAATCTTTAGCCCTGGGAAATAATCTTACCTCCTAACTTGGTAAGATTGAAATTTCAAATTCCGTCTCTTTTTGGTGAGTTGCACTGAAGGTTCTTCTTAGCTTCTCAGCCTTCTAGATGGTGCTTGCTGCTAGTCTTATTGGAACATTATTGGAAACTGCAAATATTGTGTTTAGGGGGTCTTTAGGACTTGAGGACAGTTTATACCATTGGGGGGCTCCCCACTCATATTCTTTGCTTTCTGGGCTGTCCTTCTCAGTGTACTGCTATTCTGTCAACCCTGGACTCCATAACCGTAAGTTGCCCCATGCTGCTCAAACTGGTTAGTACCCTCAATGGGAAATCTATTTAAACACAGATGTAACACAGTGTGACTCTCTTCTTTTGAGAATCCCCTCTAGTTTCTTCCTGCTTTTCATTGCTCCTCAAAACCTTCACATAGTTGCTTTTTCATATTTTTGTCAAGGGTTTATAATTGTTTCCTGCAGGAAGGTTAGCACAATATGAGCTATTTAGACATTGCTGGACTGAAATCTATTTTTCTTATAGAATTAGGGAACATTACTGGGAATGATTCAAGCTAAATATCCATTAGCTTAAAATGTAGCTTTTTTTTGCCCAGGTGTGGTGGCTCACGCCTGTGATCCCAGCACTTTGGGAGGCCGAGGCGGGTGGATCACGAGGTCAAGAGATCTAGCCGGGTGTGGTGGCTCAAGCCTGTAATCCCAGCACTTTGGGAGGCCGAGGCGGGTGGATCACAAGGTCAAGAGATCGAGACCATCCTGGTCAACATGGTGAAACCCCATCTCTACTAAAAATACAAAACATTAGCTGAGCATGGTGGTGCATTTCTGTAATCCCAGCTACTCAGGAGGCTGAGGCAGGAGAATTGCCTGAACCCAGGAGGCGGAGGTTGCGGTGAGCCAAGATCGCGCCATTGCACTCCAGCCTGGGTAACAAGAGCGAAACTCCGTCTCAAAAAAAAAAAAAAAAAGAGATCGAAACCATCCTGGTCAACGTAGTGAAACCCTGTCTCTGCTAAAAATACAAAAGTGAGCTAGGCATGGTGGCGCATGCCTGTAGTCCCAGCTACTCAGGAGGCTGAGGCAGGAGAATTGCCTGAACCCAGGAGGCGAAGGTTGCAGTGAGCCAAGATCGCACCATTGCACTCCAGCCTAGGTAACAAGAGCGAAACTCTGCCTCAAAAGAAAAAAAAAATGTAGCATTTTTAGTGGATTAATAGTCAAGTAAAACAGCAGTTTTCATTTTTTTTTTCTCTGAATTTGGCTGAGTAAAATTTTAGAGTATCATCTAACAGAAGTAGTTAATTGCCATTTTTGATGTTATCTGCATTTTTTAAAAGTTGTATTTGTAATGTAAGAACCACAAAAGCACTTTTAATCCTCCTGGCTGGATGGTGTGGGAAGAATATGGGAGGATTCCATGGAGTCAAAATGGGAAATGAGAATGAGATGAGATGTTGCTGTTTGTCAGTAATACCACTGGTCCTTTCAAGTTTTCCTAGTTAAATGGAAATCTAATTTTAAATATGACAAGTAAACAGGAAAAAATTATTTTCTCCTATGAGCCAATCTCAGGAAAAAAATGGACATTTGAGGTGCAAATTAGTCCACATGCATAGCTTCCCAGGCAGCCACTTAAGGGTAACAGAACCTAGATACAGCCATATCTCCCTGGCTCATGGAGCCTGGCATAGCAGATCCATTTCTCCAGTGTCCTCTACCCTATTTTGCCATTGGCTCAGTTCATAACCTTAAATAATGAGCCTCAGCTTCCTCAAGTAAACTTCCTTTCTGTCTTAGGCTTTGAAAGTCTATGGTCAGAAGAGTTTTTCGTTTTCAATTTGAAGACAATCCATTGTATTAAGCAAACTTTAACATATTTAAAACGCAGATTTAATTCTTCATGTGCATGGTTTGTTTTGTTTTGCTTAAGGTTGCAATTGTAGCTCAAGATTTGGCAGCATTCCATACTGCCTCATCAGAAATGGGGCACCAGCAGCATAGCCATCACTTAGTAACCACAGAAACCAGACCTCTGACCTTAGTAGCAACATCCAATGGCACCCAGATTGCAGTTCAGGTGAGTACAAGGGCAGGCTGTCCTCAGTTGACAGCAATGCTGCTCACAGCTTTTAACTTTGTACCCTGTGCTTTGTGTATAACCTTCACAGGAGGCGAGGTGCAGAATAATCTCTATCACCTAGCCTACTTTAAGAAAATTGCTGTATTTAGTCTGGGCGCGGTGGCTCATGCCTGTAATCCCAGCACTTTGGGAGGCCGAGACGGGTGGATCACGAGGTCAAGAGATTGAGACCATCCTGGTCAACATGGTGAAACCCCGTCTCTACTAAAAATACAAAAATTAGCTGGGCATGGTGGCACGTGCCTGTAATCCCAGCTACTCAGGAGGCTGAGGCAGGAGAATTGCCTGAACCCAGGAGGCGGAGGTTGCGGTGAGCCGAGATCGCGCCATTGCACTCCAGCCTGGGTAACAAGAGCGAAACTCCGTCTCAAAAAAAAAAATAAATAAATAAATAAAGAGAAAGAAAATTGCTGTATTTGAGGTGGACTCAAAGAGACCAGCACTGGCCGGGCGCGGTGGCTCAAGCCTGTAATCCCAGCACTTTGGGAGGCCGAGGCGGGTGGATCACGAGGTCAAGAGATCGAGACCATCCTGGTCAACATGGTGAAACCCCGTCTCTACTAAAAATACAAAAAGTTAGCTGGGCATGGTGGCACGTGCCTGTAATCCCAGCTACTCAGGAGGCTGAGGCAGGAGAATTGCCTGAACCCAGGAGGCGGAGGTTGCGGTGAGCCGAGATCACGCCATTGTACTCCAGCCTGGGTAACAAGAGCGAAACTCCGTCTCAAAAAAAAAAAAAAAAAAGAGACCAGCACTTTGTTCTCTACCTGTCTTTGCATATTCTAGGGGAATTTATAGCAAGAAAAAAAACCTTCCAGGTATATATCCATGTGTGCCCTCAGCCAGGCATCTTTACTTTCAAAATAAAAGTTTAATGAGGCAGGAGACTATAAAGCACTTAAGAGATAGTCCTTAAAGAGAAACCCGGGGGCCGGGTGCAGTGGCTCAAGCCTGTAATCCCAGCACTTTGGGAGGCCGAGGCGGGTGGATCACAAGGTCAAGAGATCGAGACCATCCTGGTCAACATGGTGAAACCCCGTCTCTACTAAAAATACAAAACATTAGCTGGGCATGGTGGCGCGTGCCTGTAATCCCAGCTACTCAGGAGGCTGAGGTAGGAGAATTGCCTGAACCCTGGAGGCGGAGGTTGTGGTGAGCCGAGATCACGCCATTGCACTCCAGCCTGGGTAACAAGAGTGAAACTCCACCTCAAAAAAAAAAAAAACACAAAGAGAAACCTGGTGGAAACACAAACCCTAAATAAGTCCTCTGAGAATCCCTGCACAGCCCCCATTTTAAAGTGGGGAATGTCAGAAGACTTAGAAGGAATCATTCTCTGGGAAGCACAGAATTTAGAATCTTAGGTGCAGCCAGGCACAGTGGCTCATTCCTATAATCCTAGTATTTTGGGTGGTGGAGGCAGGGAGGTGGCTTAAGCTCAGGAGTTTGAGATTAGCCTGGGCAACGTGATGAAAACCCATCTCGGGCCGGGCGCGGTGGCTCACGCCTGTAATCTTAGCACTTTGGGAGGCCAAGGTGTGTGGATCACCTGAGGTCAGGAGTTCAGGACCAGCCTGGCCATCATGGTGAAACCCCATCTTAAAAAAAAAAAGGCCGGGCACGATGGCTCAAGCCTGTAATCCCAGCACTTTGGGAGGCCAAGGAAGGTGGATCATGAGGTCAAGAGATTGAGATCATCCTGGTCAACATGGTGAAACCCCATCTCTACTAGAAATACAAAAAATTAGCTGGGCATGGTGGCGCATGCCTGTAATCCCAGCTACTCAGGAGGCTGAGGCAGGAGAATTGCCTGAACCTAGGAGGCAGAGGTTGTGGTGAGCCAAGATCACGCCATTGCACTCCAGCCTGGGTAACAAGAGCGAAATTTCGTCTCAAAAAAAAAAAAAAGAAAAAGAAAACCCATCTCTACAAAAAGCACAAAAATTAGCCAGTTGTGGTGGTGGATGTCTGTAGTGCCCAGCTACTTGGGGAGGCTGAGGCAGGAGGATTGCTTGTACTCAGGAGGTTGAGGCTGCAGTGAGCCAAGATCATGCCACTGCACTCCAGCCTGGGTAATAAATGAGACCCCATCTCAAAAAAATAAGCGACCAGCCTGGGTAGCATGATGAAATGCCATCTCTGCATAAATACAAAAAATTAGCCAGCTGTGGTAGTGTGCACCTGTAGTCCCAGCTACCCAGGTGGCTGAGGTAGGAGGATTGCTTGAGCAAGGGAAGTTGAGACTGCAGTGAGCCTAGGATCACACCACTGTACCCCAGCCTCGGCAACAGAGTGAGACCCTGTCTCAAAAGTGTAAGAATTTAAAATAAAATAGAATCCTAGGGCCTAGGTGCAGATTACCTGTCTTTAGGGAGAGTTTTTTTTTCCCCCATGTGTTTACTTGATGAGTTAGAACACACTCCAGAAAATTTTGGCTGTTGGTTTTATATAATTTATGGATATAGAAGGAGCTAAAGGCTTAGGAAGCCCTCTATCCTTCTTGACTGAGGTAAGTGTCTTTTGTCTCTTGCATGTATGAAGATTTTTTTTTTTTTGAGTTTTTATTTATTTAAAAAGAAATAGAGATAGGGTCTCACTGTGTTACTCAGACTGGTCTTGAACTCCTGGGCTCTAGTGATCCTCCTGCCTCCGCCACCCAAAGTGCTAAGATTACAGTCATGACCCACCGTGGCTGGACTGCATGAAGATTTTATCAAAATCCAAAATAAATTTTAGGCTGGGCATGGCAGCTGAGGGGCTGAGGTCATTCTCCCACCTGAGCCTCCCCAGCAGCTGGGACTACAGGTGCATGTAGCCATGCTAATTTTTGTATTTTTTTTAGTAGAGGTGGGGTCTCACCATGTTGCTCAGGCTAGTCTCAAACTTCTGGGCTGAAGCAATCTGCCTGCCTCCACCTCCCAAAATGTTGAGTTACAGGCATGGGCCACCATGCCCTGACGAGACCTCTTCATATCACCAGGCTCAGCTGCACCTAGGATTCTAAATTCAAAAAAGAAAAAAAATTGTATTATCATCCCCTTCAGGAAATTGTTTTGTGCTTTTAATGATTGGGTTAGCAGTAGTATCTTAACCCCAAGTGTCAGAATTACAAAGAGAAGTTTTACTGCTCTCATAACATTTCTTTGGCATCTTCTTGAATGTGGCTTTTGAATTGTTAGTGTTTGATGTTTGTGTTCCTGTTTCAGCTTGGAGAACAGCCATCTCTGGAAGAAGCCATCAGAATAGCGTCTAGAATCCAACAAGGAGAAACACCAGGGTTGGATGATTAATCCCCAGAACAATGGAGCAATAAAGCCAGGAGTCTTTTATTTTCTGGCAACAGAAATCCATGAAGCCCGGGCCCAGGAAAATTAGAAGTTTTCCATTCCTGATACACTGTACACATTTTTATGCAAGAGTGGAGAAGATTTTATTCTTGACACTTTTGTGTATATAACCCTTGGAATAGATTCTCAAAGTGATTCATGTGTACAAGGAAGTATGAAATTAGGGCAATACAGTAAATTTTCATGTTACTCTTTTATCAGATCACAAACTCTTAGAGTCCACATTCAAGAGTAGTAAAGTCTTATGGGAGTCTTATGATGGATTTTTAACTTCCCATGAAAAAAATAAAGGCTGTATCTAAAATATCAAAGGGTCTATATGTCACACAATCATAATTCCAAAAGCCATTATGGATAATAAAGGATGTAAAGCCTTCAGATATTTCCCCAGTTAGTAGAGTGTCTGCGGATTTTGTTCTATATATTTGTCCATTTTTATTTGTATCTTCTGGTTTGCAGACTTTGAATAATTTACAGTTTCCCCTCCTTGTTAAAAACCAGCTCTTCAAGCTGAAATGCTAATTATATTGGCATTACATTGGATTATGTATAAGATCATAAAATTTGGTTATTTAAAATTAAGAAGTTAAATCCAGTGGTTTTGTTCAAAGATTTTGCTTAGTATTCAGTTTTTATAACTGTTAAAAAAAAAAAAATTATCAAAGTTTAACCACATGCTGGTGCCCGGGATAACAGTGTTGTAATTGGAAATGGCTTTACTCTGAAAATTAGGTTCGTGGGTTGGTGTAAATTATTTATTTTTGCTTATGTACTTTTGTTTTAAATCTTACCCCAAAGTTTATTATTAATTTTCAATACAGCGATTTTTAAAACGTTACTTTTATATTTATTTATTTGTTAAATTGGTGGGGGTTGTGGGGGGAATGGTGCAGAAAATACCACAAATGTAATGGAGTGTAACCTAATACACATATTGAGAGTATGTTGTATGTCAAGTACAGATAAGTGCTTTTCCATAGACTTTTATATATTCACAATGATTTTGTAAGACACGGATTTACTACTCTGTTTTATACATGAGGGAACACAGTCCAGGGAGGCTGACTGTCATACTAGCCCTTGAGAGGTAGGACCTAAGCGAGAACCTAGACTTTCTGGCTCCAAATCCAATGTGTTTTTACTGCACCACAGTTACCTCCTCAGATGCTCATTTGTAGCAGAGATTATCAAGATCTTTGGTGAACTTTGGTGATTTCTGATTGCCTAATGAACTGAGCAGTAGAAAAAAACATTTTCTTTTTCTTTTTTTTTTTTTTGGAGACGGAGTTTCACTCTTGTTACCCAGGCTGGAGTGCAATGTCGCAGTCTCTGCTCACCGCAACCTCCGCCTCCTGGGTTCAGGCAATTCTCCTGCCTCAGCCTCCTGAGTAGCTGGGATTATAGGCACGTGCCACCATGCCCAGCTAATTTTTTTTTGTATTTTTAGTAGAGACGGGGTTTCACCACGTTGACCAGGATACTCTCGATCTCTTGACCTTGTGATCCACCCGCCTTGGCCTCCCAAAGTGCTGGGATTACAGGCCCAGCTGGAAAAAACTGTTTTCTAATGTTGGAAATTCACCATTCACCAAGGTAAAAAAAAAAAAAAAAAAAGGTCTGTTCTGCAGCAGCCCCTCCTGTACTGTTGTTCACCTCACTTTGTTTGCAGAGAGCTGAAATGTGGTGTTCTCAAGCTTTACAGTAGAAAGGGGGAAATATTGTGCTGTTTTATTTAACATAAATGTTGTCCTTGGTCAGGTTCTTTGAACTCTTGCTAAAAAGGATCATGATTTAGTCATCTGAAATAGGAAACCCTTCAGGGCTGTACAGAGCTTTTCCTTCAAAACACTTTTTTCTTTTTTTTTTTTTGAGATGGAGTTTCGCTCTTGTTACCCAGGCTGGAGTGCAATGGCGCGATCTCGGCTCACCGCAACCTCCGCCTCCTGGGTTCAGGCAATTCTCCTGCCTCAGCCTCCTGAGTAGCTGGGATTACAGGCACACGCTACCATGCCCAGCTAATTTTTTGTATTTTTAGTAGAGACGGGGTTTCACCATGTTGACCAGGATGGTCTCGATCTCTCGACCTCGTGATCCACCCGCCTCGGCCTCCCAAAGTGCTGGGATTACAGGCTTGAGCCACCGTGCCTGGCCTCAAAACACTTTATAGAGCCGGGTGAGGTGGCTCAAGCCTGTAATCCCAGCACTTTGGGAGGCCAAGGCGGGTGGATCACGAGATCGAGACCATCCTGGTCAACATGGTGAAACCCCGTCTCTAATAAAAGCGCAAAAAATTAGCTGGGCATGGTGGCACGTGCCTGTAATCCCAGCTACTCAGGAGGCTGAGGCAGGAGAATTGCCTGAGCCCAGGAGGCGGAGGTTGCGGTGAGCCGAGATTGCGCCATTGCACTCCAGCCTGGGTAACAAGGGCGAAACTCCGTCTCAAAAAAAAAAAAAAAAAAAAAAAAAAAAAAACTTTATAGATACATAACATTAGCAAAAGCCCTAGTCACCCACAGATCCAGTCTTCATTCTTGACAGAGACACTTAGACACACACAGAACTCCCCTGTGAGGCCCACTGAGACTCAGAAAGGGGCTGGCGGGCTGGGATAGAAGACCAGAATCTTCTAAATCGCAGGGTGGCGCCCAGCCTCCCAGTATTGGTCCTGGCTGCTGGCTAGGAGCTCCTACCCGCTGGGCACACCCAGGCTACTATGCTTCTCAGGACCAAAAAACATGCTGCCTGCGTCCCATGGGCCCTTAGATCTGACTTTGCTTAGATTCCAGGGTGTTTCTCTTTACTTCCAGCACTTTTGCCAGTTGGATTGGGCAGGGCTCAACCTGGACTGTGGTGAGCCTGATTATCCCTCAGAGAAACTGACTTCCTACTGGTACCCAGAGAAAAGGGCCCAGGGGCACTGGTGGTTTTCCCTGACCTGTCTTCTTGGGAATGGGACCTAAGGAGCCTAGCGAGGTGGCCTGCCTCCTCTGGAGGAAGGCTGCAGCTGGTGTGCTGACGGTTGCTAGGAAAGCTGCTGTGGGGTCTCTTCATAGTACAGGTCGCAGAAACATCCAAGGCTGAAAAATCCTGAAAAGGCACTTGAAATAAGAGTAAACACTGGCAAACAAAGCCAGGTGGGGCATAACTCTACAATTTGATCCAGACAGTGCTCAAGGAAAACCTCTCCAACCAAAAAAACCACTCTGGTTTGCCCCAGACACAGCTACTACAAAGGCCACTAAAAAGAAAATGTTCGTTGCCTGCAGTCTGAACTCCTTGTAAGAACTTAAGAATTAGGGTGGGCTGGGCGCGGTGGCTCAAGCCTGTAATCCTAGCACTTTGGGAGGCCGAGGTGGGTGGATCACGAGGTCAAGAGATCAAGACCATCCTGGTCAACAAGGTGAAACCCCGTCTCTACTAAAAATACAAAAAGTTAGCTGGGCATGGTGGCGTGTGCCTGTAATCCCAGCTACTCAGGAGGCTGAGACTGGAGAATTGCCTGAACCCAGGAGGCGGAGGTTGCGGTGAGCCAAGACCACGCCATTGCACTCCAGCCTGGGTAACGAGTGAAACTCCGTCTCAAAAAAAAAAAAAAAAAAAAAAAAAAAAGAATTAGGGTAAGGGAGGAACGTGGCTTTCTTTTTTTTTTTTTTTTTTTTTTTTTTGAGACGGAGTTTCACTCTTGTTACCCAGGCTGGAGTGCAATGGCGCGATCTCGGCTCACCGTAACCTCCGCCTCCTGGGTTCAGGCAATTCTCCTGCCTCAGCCTCCCGAGTAGCTGGGATTACAGGCACGTGCCACCATGCCCAGCTAATTTTTTGTATTTTTAGTAGAGACGGGGTTTCACTATGTTGACCGGGATAGTCTCGATCTCTCGACCTCGTGATCCACCCGCCTCGGCTTTCTTAATTCTCTGCAGGTGGCAGCTGCCCAGAGAGCCAGCTCTCTCCTTCCTCTCCTACCCACCCCCAGGCCTTCAAGGGCAAACTAACTTTGTACGGTGTCCCGTGCTTGCTGCCTGCCTTCCCACGTGACAGCCCTGAGACTAGTGAAGCAACTTGGGAAATGGTGGACTCTGCTCAAACTGTCGACTCCATTAATCAACCTGCAGAATTTACTATCCAGTATTTCCTGGCTCAGGTAAGATTATAGACAAGTCAATTATTGGGAGACCTCAGCAGTGATCGGAGAGTGGGATGTGAAAAGCAAGGGGGCAGAGCTGAAGTATTGGAAGAGGAAAAGGGAGCATGTGGGAAGTGGAGAAAAGCTGCCTCACCTCCTCCATGATAAGCACTTTCCATATCTAGGTTTCCTTTGGATGAGGACATGTTTAAGGAACACTCCAGCCATATACTCTCTCTTCTTTTGCCTGAGGAACGGGACTGGCTTCATGGGTGTGGGACTAGTACAGCTTGAATAAAACCTCCTTATAAGGGCTCTGCATTTGGGGTTTAATGCAACATGATTGCAGTCTTGAAATTCTTTTTATTACTTATTTTCGAGATAGGTCTTGCTCTGTCACCTAGGCTGGAGTGCCGTGGCGCAATCAGGGATCACTGCAACCTCCTGGGCTCCAGCAATCCTCCTACCTTAGCCTCCCAAGTAGCTGGGACCACAGGCACTCTCCACCACACCCAGCTAATTTTTGTATTTTTGGTAGAGCTGATGTTTCACCATGTTGACCAGGCTGGTCTCAAATTCCTGACCTCAGGAGATCTTACCGCCCTGGCTTCCCAAAGGGCTGGAATAACAGGCATGAGCCACTGTGCCCGGCTGCAGTCTTGATGTCTATCTTTGTGTGTGTTTTGTAAGTGAAGTCCCTTGTATCAACATGTGCTGGTGGCTTAGCACCTGAGCTTACACACAGCTCTACCCGCTCCTGCCTCCCTGCAAGGGCTCTCACCACCACTTCCCCACCTGGCCTCTCCCTCCTTGCCCTCACCCTGCAACTGCTGCCACCCTCTACCCTTTGAGGGAGTCTGATCCCAATGCAGGGAGGGTTGGGGCATGGTGGTGGCCATCCCCACTCCAGGCTGGCAGCACCACAGTGCTCTTGGTGGATAGCTAGCCTTAGTTGAGCCTTGAAAGGGGCAAGCCTCTCGCCGAGCCCTTTACAACAATGTCCCAGCTCTGAGTTTTAAAGACACTGGTAGCCCATTTGCTTTATGCTGCGGTGGCAGGCCTATGGGAAGGGGAGACACCTGGAGGAAAGGGAATGTGGAAGCTGTCAGACCCAAGAGAGCACCTGCCCACAGACATCTGTGAGGTCCCATGCCCTGGAGGGCTCTCTCTACCCACTCTGTGACTGGAGGAATCTTCTCTTCCTCCTTTCAACTATCCTGAGCCTGGCTTGTGTTTGTTGTGCCTTGGAGCCAGCAGGAGATAACCCTCCTGGGATGAGCCACAAAATTCGAATTGTGTTATTTTAGTGATTCCAAATATGAGATAAATATTCTGATGTTTGCATTTAAAATTGGGATTGTATAATATAAAAGTGGACGGTAAAATTCATGCCAAAAATTTTAGTGGTTTTTCTTTTTTTGAGACAGAGTCTCACTCTGTTGCCCAGGCTTGAGTGCAATGGCACGATGGTGCAATCTCGGCTCACTGCAACCTTTGCCTCCCAGGTTCAAGCGATTCTCCTACCTTAGCCTCCTGCCATCATGCTCAGTTAATTTTTTGAATTTTTGTAGAGACAGGGTTTCACCATGTTGGCCAGGCTGGTCTCGAACTCCTGACCTCAGGTGATCCACCCGCCTCAGCCTCCCAAAGTGCTGGGATTACAGGCATGAACCACTGTGCCTGGCCACCATTCTATTTTCTTTTTCTTTCTTTCT